GCAACGAGGCCTAGAAACAATTAATTATTAATTAATTCAATACATATAAATAGACTAATACTTAATATATTTTTAAATTTCATACACATATGTAGTCCACATAAGAACAAAATTAAATAACATTAAAATAAAGTGAATAACATTAAAAATAAAGTGAAGTCATACATATCAATATGGATATTTTATAAATATCTAGCGCAACCTTTTTAATTGATAGAAATGTTTGAATTGATTCAAATCAATGGAAAAAAGAAAATATAAATACTTTTTATATTAAAAACTTTTAATTTTTTTTAAAGTACTGTCAGTATAAATTTGGAAAGAACTTTAATTAATGAGTGTAAAATAAATTGAATAATAGTTTTTGAATTATTTAATCGAACTTAATTTGGATTGAGCCATACGTTTATGGTTTAAGATAATGACACGTACCCTACGGAACTCATAATTGATTACGAGCGGCTCAAATAAAATCGAGCCGATTCATCGGGTTTCAGATAATTGATTACGACGGTTCAAATAAAATCGGGCCGATTCATCGAGTTTCAAATAAACCCGACTCAATTAAAAGTCCTGACTCATATATCATATACATGCCCATACGAAACATGTATGGTTTCATCATGATCATGATCATGAGATGCTGCCACGTGGCTAAGTGTAGGCAGACGAAAATATCATCGCCACGTATGCACGCGGGAGATAGCAGCTAAAGATCTCATTCACTCACCCTTTCTCTCTCTAAACTATACGTGTGTGTGTGTGTGTGTGTGTGTTTTTCTCTCTCTAGTCTCTCTCCACCCAAACTCGGAATCTTACCCCCAAAAAAGGAAATTTTGTACATTTCTCTACCCACCTTGTCATCTCTAACTCAGTATTAGAAGAAATGAATCAATTTTTATGCTAATTCGTCGGAGATCTCCGTCAGAACTCAATTCAGGTATGGATCCTCTTTTTTTTTTTTTTTTTTTTAATTGTGCTGTAAGCTTATGTATGCGATTAATCTTCGTAGTTGAATATTAGTGGCTGATGATGTTGATTTCTGTTTGGAGAAATTCTTAGATGCAGAAAATGCAGTAATTATTAGTGTTTATTGTTGAGAATTGATCGATTTATAAAAGAAGAACAGCTAGATAAATTATGCTCATTCAAAAATCAAACATAATATACATATAATTTTTTTTATGATTTAATTTAGCTCATCGTATGTTACAAGGACAGTTATTTTACTTGATTTTTTTTGGATTTTGTCTCTTATGTAGTAATTATATTTTGGGTCTTCTAGATGTAGTTTGTGTAATTAGTGCCATGGGTTTCTTTTCAGTTCTTAGTATCAAAAGGAGTAAATCCATCTTTATTTCGAAAATCGTCGTTTTTATTATATAAGAAATGGTGCAACCTTGTGTTGTATGTACCTTTTCGTTACTTCTTTTCCCACCAAATTTCAGGATTCGAGTTTTTTTTTTTTTTTAAAAAGGGGTTGAATTGAACTGGGCTGATTTTTCCTTTGATTTTTGTTTTTATGAAGTGTAGCCAGTTGGTTACGGAAGTTCGTTTTCTGTTAATTTGCTATTGACATTGAGTTTTCCTTTTTAATCTAAGTCGGTTTATTTATGTTGTCTAGTAGTTCATTGTTTTTCCACTCCATCATAAAGAGTGTTATTTGAGATTGCGGTAATTTTTTGGTTTTGCAGGACACAGTCAAGAACAATATCCCTGAATTGTTTTAAACGAGCGGTTTGCATGCAACATATTTCATTCGATATTTGACTTGAAGCTCTGAAGCATCAATTTATCGATACCTGGCTGAGTTTTCTTATTTGGGTCTAATGAAATGCTGAATTACAGTATTTTGATCCTGGATTGGTAGAAGGCTATATGGAAATTGTAGCTTTGACGTACTTCTCCGATATTATTTAAATAAAAAGTTTATGGCAACATCGAATGAGAAGTGGATCGACAGTTTGCAGCCATCCTCATTGTTTTGGCCTCCTCCACAAGACGCTGAACAACGGAAGGTTTGCCTTGAAGATGACTTGGGTTTCCCTATATTTGTTTTATTAAACAAACAATATTTTATAAATTGTAGTATTGTCCTACATTTGATTTAGAGCTAAAAGCCTTTGTGGCTTCTTAGATGCAGATTCTCACTTGTCCTTTTCTTTATTTCGCAAATAGTGCATAGTATAGATTAGCTTTTTTGTTGCCATATTTTTTACTGTGTGAAGAGTTTATGTACGTAGATTCTGTTCTTAGAGTTCCCTTGAATTTTATTCTTTTCAGATTCTGCTATTTGTAAGAAATTTTCTACTTTGCGCAGGCTCAAATTACTGCTTATGTTGAGTACTTTGGCCAGTTCACCTCCGAACATTTTCCTGATGAGATAGCAGAGGTGTTTTCTTTTCCCTATTAGAGAACTTTTTATTTCTTGCAAATTTGTAGTTTACTTGTTTCTCTTGAATTGTTATGTCTAAGCTATGTTTCTAATTTGTAATATGTGCTGGTTCTGCAGTTGATTCGAAGCCGGTATCCATCAAAGGAGAACAGACTCTTTGATGATGTTCTTGGTACTTATTATATCATTGTTGAATTGGGTGCATAGTGTTTTTAGGATGTACTTTGACTTGTATTGTTGTTTCATTTTCCAGCAACTTTCGTTCTTCACCACCCAGAGCATGGACATTCTGTTATTCACCCGATAATTTCATGTATTATTGACAGTACGCTCGAATATGATAAGAGTGGACCTCCCTTTGCTTCTTTCATTTCTCTGGTTAGCCCCAAGAGCGAGGTATCTAGATAGTATTAATTAATTCATTGCCTTTTTCACTCTGATTTTTCTTCGTTCATACAATACTACGAGTTAATGTGTTTGGAGCAATCTTTTTTGGACTTTTACATATTTATTATTTCACTACTTTTATAGAATTCTTGAACTGTTTTTAGTTAATCAAAAAGAATCTTGATAACAGTACTTTCATATTTCCCTACAGAATGAGTATTCCGAGCAGTGGGCTCTTGCGTGTGGGGAAATATTGAGAATTTTGACTCACTACAACAGACCCATATACAAGTTGGAACGCCAGGAAAACGAAGGTGATAGAAGTAGCAGTGGGAACCATGCTTCAACTAGTATGTCAACTGATGGAGAACCTTCTTTGCCTTCCACACAGTCAGAGAGGAAAACTACGAGGCCATTGTCTCCCTGGATCACTGATATATTACTCGCAGCGCCTCTTGGCGTAAGAAGTGATTATTTTCGATGGTAAGTCAGTGATATATATAGAATTTGCAGGCCAAAAGTTATCTACATACCTAAATTTCATGTTGACCAACTTTGGTTTTCAGTTTTGCTTCTTGACTACAAGTTCAACTTAGATTCTTAGAGTTACTTTTAAGGTAGACGATTCGTCAGGTTTTCACCTGAACAGATGTCTGATCAGTTGGTAGCCTGAAAACATCTGATGGTGATGTGTAATAGCTTGATTAAGTCTGTATTGTGGTGTATTGAGTTTTGCTTGAATAATTCAATTTCTGGTTATGAGAGGAGTTAGGACTGAAATCAGACCTCATGATAGTGATAAAGTACTTAAGAACTTTCCCGACATCATCTAATTCAAAGACTAGAGTCTCTATACCACTGTATCATCAAGTAATTATGATTCTCGATTTAGCTTTTTGTATTTGAAGAAAGAGATTGAGCCATTGAATCGTGTATCCCGAAAGAAGCTTTCTATAAAGAAATAACATCTGTGTATGTATTCTTTCGTTTCTTTTCTGATATACTAGATAGTTGTTTTCCATCTTGAAAAGTCTTCAGATATTTTCTGCCAACCGCCTGATGACACTTACAACCCACATCATTCTTTTAGTTACGCTCTCATTATTGGGAACAAAAGCCTAAACTTCATATAACCGTAAGGAGGCTAAATGAAATTGATCTATTAAGCTTCAACTCATTTGTTAGTGGTATCGTTTATAATGGTAGGGATTAAGCTTCAATCAATGCATGGGACTTTACATCAAGTCAAATAAACATATGAAGCTGTTAGTCTATAGTGACTGTTAGTCTGTGGTCCGTGTTAGCCTGGAGGCTTGCTAATATGTATATTTCCTAACTACAGTTCATAGCTAGTTTCTTGGATTAATACGTACCCATCCAGAATAACTTTTTAATATATGTTGTAGGTGCGGAGGCGTCATGGGAAAATATGCAGCTGGAGAATTGAAACCACCTTTGACTGGTCAGTCTAACTTCCAACATATCTTCAATACACATGCTTAATATTAAGTGTTTTACATCAGAAATAGTTATATGCCGCATTATTCTTGTTGCCAAAATTCTTATGCTGTCTGTGCAAACTCAATTTGCAATCGAAAAGGCACTAGTTACTAAAGGTCTCTCCTCCCTAAATTTTATAAAAAAAAATATATATATATATATTTCTTAGATGATCCGAACATTTAAAAATTTGGAAGGATCTTACAATAATTTTTGGTGGATTATACACTTATGCTGGTATTATTTCCTTTCATTCCACTAAATTAATAAAATTGTGCAGTCCCGGGCTTATTATTCTATAGAGTTTAAACTGCATATCATATTATTTTTGTATTTAAACTTTTAGCCTCATATTTCAGAGGTTGTAGCAAAAAGATGTGCTTATTTTGATTTTTTAACAACTACACTTATTACTTAATATATCTCAGTGTCTTCATCTCGTGGCTCCGGAAAGCATCCCCAACTTATGCCATCAACTCCAAGGTGGGCTGTTGCCAATGGCGCTGGCGTAATTCTTAGTGTATGTGACGAGGAAGTTGCTCGTTATGAAACTGCTACATTGACAGCTGTCGCTGTCCCTGCACTTCTTCTTCCTCCTCCAACCACACCCATGGATGAGCATCTAGTTGCTGGTCTACCTGCACTTGAGCCCTATGCACGCCTCTTTCATAGGTTCGTTTTTTGATATTTCCTTTTCAGATGCTAGAGTACATTAATAATCTTGTTAATTTTTTATTTGTGTGTGTGTGTGTGTGTGTGTGTGTGTGTGTAATCTTGTTAATTTTCTCTTGTGGCTTAGATATTATGCAATTGCTAGTCCGAGTGCCACACAAAGGCTACTTCTGGGACTGCTAGAAGCTCCACCTTCGTGGGCGCCAGATGCACTTGATGCTGCTGTCCAACTAGTGGAACTTCTTCGAGCAGCCGAAGACTATGCCTCAGGCATGAGGGTAAAATTGATTTCCTTGCATTTTTTTATTTCTTTTTGTTTATGTAAAATGAGAAGCATCCTAGAAAAATAAACTGTTGGACAATGTTGACTAACCATATGGAAGCCGTGATTTTTACGATGAAGCTTCCAAGGAATTGGATGCACTTGCATTTCTTGCGTGCAATCGGGATTGCAATGTCCATGCGAGCTGGAATTGCTGCAGATTCCGCAGCGGCTTTACTTTTTCGAATACTTTCTCAACCAGCTTTACTCTTCCCTCCACTGAGACAAGTTGATGGTATTGAAGTTCAACACGAACCTCTAGGTGGTTATATTTCATCCGAAAGAAAGCAGGTACTGAATATTTCAGTCACCATATAACATCATCCTCGAATTATTCGAGCATCTTAACTGAAATATTTATGTTACTTTTCAGCAAAGAGAATTGCCTGCCAAAGCGACAGTAGAAGCTACTGCACAAGGAATTGCATCGATGCTTTGTGCACATGGACCAGAGGTTGAGTGGAGAATATGTACAATATGGGAAGCTGCTTATGGTTTGATTCCTCTAAGTTCTTCGGCTGTAGATCTACCCGAAATCATAGTTGCAACGCCTTTACAGCCCCCTTTATTATCATGGAATTTATACATTCCTCTTCTTAAAGTGCTTGAGTATCTTCCTCGTGGAAGTCCATCCGAGACAAGTCTTATGAAGATATTTGTGGCCACCGTTGAAGCAATTCTACAGAGAACATTCCCACACGAGTCTTCTAGAAAACAAATTCGAAAAACGAATTACATTTTTGGGTCTGCATCGAAGAATCTTGCTGTGGCTGAGCTTCGTACGATGGTCCACTCACTGTTCTTAGAGTCAACTGCTTCTATAGAGCTTGCTTCTCGTCTTCTCTTTGTCGTGTTAACTGTCTGTGTGAGCCACGAAGCGCAGCACCCTAAAGTTGAAAACTTTTATTCGGAAAGTTTGGTTAATGATTTAAAAGTAGTCAATGGGAAGAAAAGAGAACTTGAAAGTAAACAGGGTAAGAAACAAGGGCCTGTGGCAGCGTTTGATTCGTATGTCATCGCTGCTGTTTGTGCTTTATCGTGTGAACTACAGCTCTTTCCCTTGATCTCAAAAGGTATTCAATTAGATGCAAAATCGAATGATATATCGAGTGGATTGCAAAGTGGTATGGAAGCAGCTGTTTATCATAGTCGTCGAATATTAGCGATTTTGGAGGCACTTTTTTCGTTGAAACCATCTTCAGTCGGCACATCGTGGAGTTACAGTTCGAATGAAATAGTGGCTGCCGCTATGGTTGCAGCTCATGTTTCCGATTTGTTCCGACATTCAAAGGCGTGCATGCGTGCTCTGTCCATCTTTACAAAGTGCAAGTGGGACGATGAAATTCACTCGAGGGCATCTTCCCTTTTCAGTCTAATTGATATTCACAGCAAAGTTGTCGCCTCCATAGTAAACAAAGCAGAACCACTGGAGGCATACCTACAATTATCGAAGGAAACTCCTTTATGTTTTCATGGGAAAGTACCTACTACTTGCGCTAGCTGTCGCCACATAGAATCGGGCCAGCCATCTTTACTGCCGTGTGATGCTTTGGTCAGTTATGGGAAGGCTGATTCCAATGAGGTGCAACGATGTAAAATGGTCAAAGGGATAGCAATTTTGCCTACAGATGCTTCAGATTTGGCCAACTTTTTGACGACCGATAGGCATATAGGGTTCAATTGCAGTGCACAAGTTCTCTTAAGATCTGTTCTTGCAGAAAAGCAAGAATTGTGCTTTTCTGTTGTTTCGTTTCTCTGGCACAAATTGATTGCAACACCCGAAACACAACCAAGTGCAGAAAGCACGTCTGCTCAGCAAGGATGGAGGCAGGTAATGCAAATTAACTTCGTGTGATACCTTATTCCTAAATTTCTGATTGAAGCATGATTGAAATACTTTTTTCCTTTATTAATACAGGTGGTCGCTGCACTCTGCAATGTAGTATCAGCAACACCAGCAAAAGCTGCAACAGCTGTCGTTCTTCAGGTCCAGATTCCTTTTTGCTTGAAATTTTCACACACTGAAAAAAGTTTTGCCAAATTCTACCAAGTTTATGCCGTTTGTATAGTCACTTTATTGGCTGACTTTGTTAGGCGGAGAGGGAACTGAAACCTTGGATAGCAAAAGACGATGACCTTGGTCAAAAGATGTGGAGAGTCAACCAAAGAATCGTGAAAGTGATTATCGAGTTAATGAGAAATCACGAAACCCCGGAGTCGTTGGTAGTTCTGGCTAGTGCATCGGATCTCCTCCTTCGTGCCACAGATGGAATGCTTGTCGATGGAGAAGCGTGCACTTTACCACAGCTTGAGGTAATGAACATATTTGTAAATCATCCATTTTTAAGCGAATTGTTTGTATATTATAATTGCTCATAAAAAAAATATTTGACAGTTGTTGGAAGTTACAGCAAGAGCAATTCAACCGGTGCTTGAATGGGGGGAATCGGGATTGACAGTTGCAGATGGCCTTACAAATCTATTGAAGGTAAAAATAGCTCTCTTGGTATTTTACTTGGTGCTCTTAATCCAGAAAATTCTATAAAAGTAAACTGAACAGTACCACTTAAGAAGCGCGATGTACACCCGGTATTTACGTAGAGACAGTACACATATTTTGGTAGAAATGGAATCTCATTTGCCTATAAAATGTGATTGAATGGCCATCAACCATAGTGAGTGGGGGTTGAAGTCAGATCGGAATTTCTGATATCCGCCGACTTCCGATCCGAAATTTTCCGATTTCCGAGTTTTCTGGTTTTATTTTTATATCAAAATTTGAATATATCTGAGATTTTGATTTCCGATCCTATTTTTATTTCCAAAAATGATTCTAAAATTCTGATTTTTTTTTCTGAACTTAGAATTTCTCTGATAATTTCTAGTTTCGGAAAATGTTTTTCCAATCCAATTTGCAAAATTCCGGTTTCTGATTTATTATTTTTTTATTTTATTTTATCACCGCTAACACAGTTTGATCAATTATTTCAGTGTCGCCTGCCAGCCACAGTTCGTTGTGTATCTCATCCGAGCGCTCATGTCCGTGCTCTAAGCACTTCAGTTCTCCGTGCTATTCTCCATGCCGGTTCAAGAAAACCAAACACCACAAAAACAGGGGCTGCAAATAGCATACACAGTCCACGTCATCATCATCATCTTCTCTTGGATTGGCAAGCTGATATCGAAAAGTGTTTGGCTTGGGAAGCACACAGCAGACGTGTAACTGGCCTGCCCGTTCAGTTTGTTGATAGTGCTGCAAAGGAATTAGGCTGTACTATCTCAGTTTGAATACTAGTAAGAATTTTGAAGGACAAAACGAGGTTACAATTATTCATGTGACGATAAATTGGCATAAAGCCAAGGGTATAGTTCCACTGTGGTTTGAATCAGGTATTGATTAATGTTTGTTTGAACTTAAAAACAATAGATACACTGACTGTCTATCTTGAATACCTCTTATTTGACAAGGTATTATTTAATTTTATTTCCCTGTGTGTGTAATATGGAATTCAGTTCTCTCTCTCTCTCTCTCTCTCTCTCTCTCTCTCTCTCTCTCTCTCTCTCTCTCTCTCTCTCTCTCTCTCTCTCTCTCCCGGGAATTTTGTTTCATACATACGATTGGAGTTCAATACAGGTACTCGTCTTTCAGGTAGAAACAGTAAAAAAAATCAATAAAAATTAAAAAAATGCAGGCACATACAAATACGAAAAGGGAATAACGGGAAACACCAATAAGTAAACGAAACACCAAAATATATTACACAACATATACATATGTTAAAAACATAATATTACAAGCAAAAGCTAAGCATCAACATTTACTCAAAACACATCATATCAACATTCAGACAAGCATCTATTTCTGAATCTTACATACCTTATCACTGTACCCAAAAAGTCGTGAACTCTACATGTTAGTTGCCTTCTCTTTCTCTGTGGCATACATTAATTTCATGTCATAAAGTTACCGCTCATACCTTGTATCTGCTGTTATGGCTGCTGCATGCCTTCAATTCCGGTCATCGTTCCATCCTGAAATGCGTTACACATTTCATATCAATTCTCAACAAAACGAGCTTTTAAAAAGCCAAAACATGGTAATTAAGAAGAAAAAAAAACTTATGCTCGGGTCAAGAAATTTGGTTAATTTTTCACCAGTTATAACAAAATTCTATAACAGGAGAAAACGTAATGCAAGAATAAAGTTATTACATTGATCAAAGTATAATTGGGTCAAGGATGCAAATTTCCTGTTAAATATTAAATTGTTCCGCACATCCATGAAATGCTCAATAAACATATTTTCCAAACAATTTTCCTTATGGATTGTCAATTAATGATTTGACATCCGATAAAGACTTAAAAAGATGTTTTGCGTGAACTGTTAACGGCATTATTAATTAATTAACCACTCCACAGTAGAGAAGGTAAATCAGAAACTCAGGTAAGCATAGTAAGTTAAGACAAACAACCTTATAAATTGCCCTTTCGTTGCGCCAAAACTCCAAAGTAGGCGTCAGTAATCTCCCTGAAAAAAATACCGGCAAAAGAAAATTGACAAAAATTATAAAACAGTTTGATTGCTAATTATTTAATTGAAAGTTTAAGATTTGGGAAATATAATTACCCGATCGAGATCTTTTGACACTCGTAATAGATTGAGGTGAAGCACTCGGTACTTTAATCTTTTCTTTGCTAGGAGTTTCCTACAACACAAAGGGAGAGAAAAATGACAAGCATGTTCTTTCCAATAACGAGCTAGTAGCTTTGACTCCGTACTCAACGAGTTCAGTTGTAATCTGAAGCATAAAATAAACCAATAATAACCAGTATAAATAACTAGAACATAGTTAAGTAGAATATGCTCTATCGAAAAGCTGACTTACATATGCTAATTTTCTTCTGGTCTTCGTAACCGATGTTTTTGTCTTCTCAGATAAACAATTTACGTCAGGAATTACATTATCCTTTTGATTATTAGCAGAAGCAACAGTAGTCAACGACCCTGTTGCTTTGTGCTTTGCCTTCTTTCTGCCTGCAGTTTTGACCTTTCTCGAGTCCTTATCCTTACTTGGCGTTCGAGAAATTTGCTCGGACTTACCTATAACCGAACCAGCATCTAAATTGCTCACTTTAATTTTATCTGTAGGCTCGTGTACTTCACTAAACTCGAAATCCCAGATATTTCTGTCTCGAGTTTCGCAATCAACATCTGCAAATTCTACTATTTTAGGTCCCATGGATGAAATACAGTTTGAGATCTTTTCACCTACAGACATTCTAACCGATGTTTGATCGTTCTTTCGTTTCATTTTCAAACTACTCATTGAACGCGTGGAAACTGTACCCTCGGAATGACTAAAAATATCCTCTGATGAGCTCTTGTTCCTTTCAAGATTGTTCTTCCTCGGGTTAGCAATCGTATTTTCATTCGCGGGCTTATTACGAAAACGACATGCAGATAAAATTCTTCCAGTACCACGAATCTTAGAACCTTCTACAACCTTATCAGTGACAGCTGGATTATTGATGTTTAATGACTTCATTTTATTCGTCTCACAATTCACCGGCATGTCCAAATTCGAGAGATCTTCAACAGTGGGACCTACAGAATAAGAGTCCTTTTCAACAGTGGAACAACTAATTACACTGTTGGATTTTTTAGTCGGTGAAACTGCAGAAGAACTTTTTTTCTTGTTTTTTCTTTGTCGTTTGACATCTGTTTTGTCTTGCGATCCTAAATCCTTCTCAAGATTGTCTACACGTGGTTGCTCAGCCTCCATTGCTGCAAAATTCGGTTAATCATCAAATTAGAACTCTGAATTTACTTTTCTGAAAATTACACAGCATCCAAATGGTTTAAATTAATATATGGTAGGTGTACTTCGAGATTGCGGCGATTGTACTTTAGAAATGTTAAATCCCGAAACTTCATTACGGCTCGATTCTTTAGCCATGAAATTCTCCACATACTCCTTCCAGTACGGAGGAAAGCCAAAACGAAAATGGTCAAATACCTGTTGCAGTACAGAAAGGATTCAAGATTAACAGCTTTTCGTACAAATCTTTTTGCAAATAAAAAAATGCACTTCCTATTAAAAGATATGCCATTCGAGTACTCGGAATACGGATTTGCTATAGGTCAGAAATGTGCTCCAGCATGTTAGCATCTAACATATTTGCAAAACACTGAATACTTAGTGTCCGCACACGAAATATTTTCTGGACAAGATCATTGTTCAGTGCTCTGTCTGGTTATTTGTTATGGTACAATTCTTAATTTCTGCCATGTAAGAATCTCCGGAATGAACAATGATTTTTATCATAAAGAAAGATAATTGTCTTAGAGTTCACTGTTATAACACCCAACATATATTATACTATCACCTATTACACCTTTTAGATACAAAAAGTTTTTAACTTCAACTATGTTTGTGGAATAAAACATCTTTTATTGTCGGAAAAACGTGTCCGTTTTAATATCAGACCAGGATTAAAAGCATTAAGGAAAGATTACAGCCGAAGCAGTTGAAAAGACAAGAGAGTGGTGTATTTCTTTAACCATTTTAAATGAGGAAATCTAGACTTCAATTACAATGAAAACAACAAAGGATGTATGAACACTAACCACATAATGCAATGCAATGCACCAAATTTAAAAGACAGGAGAAGATAGTTTGTTAACTTACATCAGATGGAAAACCGTTTTCTAGCGTGCGATCTATGTTTATGAAACCTTTGAGAATAACACATATTCCATCTGTGGTTTCAATAGTGAAAATATCATATCTCTTGAGAATCGAGGCAGATGAAAAGACTCGCATGGCCTGTTTTCTATAGCACATAAAATAGGTGAAACCCTTTCAGAAAAAAAGAACTTAAAATTGCAAAAATTAGTTACAATTTTGAGACGAAAGAAAGGAAGTTACAATCATTTTGAGACAAGTAATTTCCACATAAATAACATTAGACATGGACAATCCAATATACATAAATCACGAAACAAGATAAATCGTGCAATTCTTTAACCAAGATTTTTACAGTAAAGGTGAAGATTTGACAAGTTGAACGGGGATAATAGTTGCAACATTAATTAGAAATAGGATGTCCAGAATATATTCTATACAAGAATATATGACGCACTTAGCAAAATCTTTCGTGTTTTAACACAACTACATATCGGCTACGATGTAAATCAGTTCAAAGCCTACAATGAAATATATTAGTTTAAAAAGAAGAAATGAGATATAGACATTATCGACGGAGAAACGGAAGATTGGATAAGACGAGGCCAAAGGGCAAAATAGTCTTTTTCTAAGTCGGGCTAATGGCGCATGAAATGGTGAAGAGCATGGTAGAAGGAAACTAAAATCACAAAACTAAATGTTTGGCAGAAGAATTTAAGCATCTCTTAGAATTGTTAAAGCGTTCACGAAATTGCATTTTCAGTAGCGTGAACCAGAAATAGAACTCCGGTTTTCGCTATTTATAAGCCAAAGTAACTCCGAGTTATTTCATCCAATTTCGAAACTTTTGTTGCATACAGCTGAGTTAGAGCACAAAATCGACAGAACAAACTAAAAAAAGGAATCAACTCACTCTCGAGAAGTAAAACCAGCAACTGCGAGCTGCGGTTTCGCTTCGAACTCGTTTTCAGTCTTAACCAACCACCAATCTGTCAAACACACCTTCAATTTTTCCCCAAAAAATAAATTAATAATAATTAAAACAATGAAGAACATTTATCAACAGAAAACCTAATAAGGTAAATTAATACACTAAACAAGCTCACTGTTGAATTGAATTGTGATTTAGGTTTGTTCCCCGTATCAGTGTGATGAACTGGATTTGAATTCGACGCCATAACTTGATGATTCGTGTACGTATGTTCTGCAGAAGAAGCAAGTTCGTCGGTAGGGGAATTGAGAGAGGCGGATGGGCGGGGAAGAAGGAGAGGGGAGGCGGAGGAGGAGGAGGAGGAGGAGGAGGAGGAGGGCGGAGATTTGGTGGTGGTTACTTCCGGCGCCGGCGGTGGCGGAACGAGAAAGGGGGAAAAGGAATGGCAGAAGACGGTGAGGAAGTGTTTGCTACTCTGATAAATTTGATGAAACACCATTTCTCCATTAGGTTTTTACAGGTTTTTCATATATATATATATATGAGTAAACTGCAAAAAGTACCCCTGTGAAATTTCAAACTAGCAAAAACCCCCCTATGATAAATAAACTAGCAAAAACCCCCCTATGAAAATTTGTTAAAGGCAAAAACCCCCCCAGTGCATTTTCGTGTTGCACACTCGCCGAGTGTGCAGCTGGTGACGAATTTTTAGATCTGAAATTACATAATTACCCCCCAAATTTTATTAATATGTAATTTCATGATTTTTCCGAAAAATCCTACACAAAACCTTAATCTCCATCTTCCCGACTTCAATTCGACCAGCGTCCTCCCACTACCGCAGCACAGCCTCCACATCGGCTGCTCCGCTGTGCTGCTCTACCATAGCCGTCGCGCAAAGTCCAGGCTCGATCACTTCGTGAGGACGAACAAGGGCGCTGACGATCGGAGGAGCTTCCAGAAATTGGGGGACCTGGGAAGCCCTCTTCGGCGGCGGCGGCAATTGGAGCCTAGCGGAGCCCTACAACCCCGATTACAAACTGGCGTTCGAGCCTTTCTTCTTGTGTTCGTGTTCAACGGATTTTGTGGATTTTCTTTTTGTGTTGTTGCAAGGTTTGCAGAAACTAGCTTCTTTACCACTGTTTTTAATTTTTGTTTTGTTTTGTTTTGGATCTTGAAAAAAAAAATAGATAGAATTTTCTAGTTTGTTTTTGCTGGTTGGGATTGAATAATTAAGTGGGAAGACGATGGTGGTGGTGTTGGAGATGGCATCGGGATTCAAATCGTTGAAGATGATGATGATTCGATTTATCTTTTTTTTTTTTTTTTTTTTTTTTTTGATTTTCTTGATTTTTTCTGATTATTAAAAATTTAGTATACAAAGTAAATGGAAATATTATATTAAAAAAAATCGTCAATAAACATATACATAATATTGTAATTTTTTTTTTTCTTTTTCATAATTTAGTGTAGGAATAATTTAAAAGTTATAAAGAAATTATATGATAATTTTAAAAATAAAAAAAACCCTTTCCATTTTTTTAAATACAAGATATAACAAAAATAAAATTAGTTTTTTTATCAGTAATAAAAAAATAAAATAGTTAGAACATTAGAAAATAAGAATTTAAATATCTCATTTGTGCTTTTTTTAATACTATAAAAATAGATATTTCACAGGGTTTTTTTTGTCAATTTACACAAGGTCAGCCCTTAAATTGGTAGTGGGTCAAGTGTGCTATTAAAAAAAAACACAGGGGGTTTTTGCTAGTTTATTTATTCACTGGGGGGTTTTTGCTAGTTTGAGATTACACAGGGGTACCTTTTGCAGTTTACTCTTATCTATATATATATATTTTTATTATTTATTTATATATTATCTTTCTATATTTCTTATTTTTATTTATATTTTCAATTCCGGGCCATCCTCTGGTTTTTTTTTTCAATTTGCTAATAAATTCTCCCCTTTTTTTTTTTGATAAATTGTGGTTTACCTCTTT